TATGTAACACAGGTTCAAGAATTTCACCAGTTGGAGTCAAATCTCCAAGTATGTCAGTTTCTTGCTGATACGCGCAAGTTCCTCCACCAAATGATCCGAACCATTAACATTAAAGAGGAGGTCCTGATCACAATGCAGATCGTGGGGGACCTTTCCTTTGCTTGGCAGTTAATTGACAGGTAATGTGGATAGCCTGACATTTGTGCTGGATGAAGGCCACTGTGCAAGTCTTCTAACCGGTTACCCTTTTTTTGCAGTTTCACTTCTATCATGCAAGACAGCATAAGGGTAAACCCATCCATGGTTACTAAACTCAGAGCTACATTCTTGAAGGTAAGCAGAGAACAGTGAAACCTCGCTCTCGGCTACTAGGCAAGAGTTGGCCTTCATTATTACCTCATGTGTTAATTCGGCCCAAGATTTCATCCTTTTAGAAAGCGGGATAACGTAAGGATTTTTTATAAACTGAAAATTGTTAGCGATTCTCCTATGAGAGCATAGTTTCAAAAGATGCCAGACGTATTTGAAGTTTGAATTAATAAGTTGAAATATTATACAGAAAATTGTTTTTAAATGAAAGAAGTAAATTTCTTTAAAGTTTTACCAGTATACTAAAAATGTGAATCCCGTGGGTCCCTTATTCCCTAGGTTGAATTATAAATCCTTTTACACACTCATTTTTTTAAATTCTGCATAGCTGGCCCTTGCTCTCAAAATAATTCAGATCATGATAAATGGACAGATAATTTACTCAGTGTCTTCCGATGAAATGACCACATATATCAATTCTGAAGTGCACTTTCTTTCATATGTTAACAGCCCTGTGATTAAGGATGGTTTCATCATTGATGGCGTGTTGGAGTTCAGTTGTCAGCATGTTTTTTTTTCTCTGAGTGGTACATAAAATGATGGCATTGCCTATATGCCATGACATCTCTAATTGGACTCAGTACAATCAAAATGTCTGATTCCCACAGAGGACGAGCTGTCTTCTGTAACACAGTGCCTTTCAAACTTGAGGGCCCAGGAGAATCCCCAGGGATCTCGTTACAACACAGATTGCTGGGCCCTGCCCCCCGGAGTGTCTGATTAAGTCAGTCTGGGCTGGAGCTCAAGAACTGGCACCTCTAGCAAGTTCCCAGGTGATGCTGATACTGTGGGTCCAGGGACCACAATCTGAGAACCACCGCTGTAGCCAAAGACTGTCATTTAAACATTATATTGTTGTTCAAAACTAGTAATAACATTGATGCAGTTTCGTGGTTGCTGCTTTCTTGGGTAAAGCCCAAGGGCTGTGTGATACATTACTATTTCTCGAAAGATCGAGATTTCTGGGACTTGAAAAAGAGAGACAGATCTTGTTTTTCTTCCAGCTTGCCTCTGCTCTTGACTTGCCCCTCCTGCGTATTAATCAAGCAAACAGCCCTGACCTTCTCAGCGTGTCTCAATACTATTCCGGTGAACTGGTGTCCTACGTGAGAAAGGTGAGAAACGCCATCAAGGTGACATTTATTTTATTGGCAAAAATAACTGCTATTTTAAATACAAAAGGTATGCTTGGGGGCCATATAAAAAGTACACTCACGTTTCTTTCCTCTATTAATTTTATTGAAGAAATTTGCAATACCTGAAAATAAACTTATTCTTATGGCAGTGTGGATGTGCAGATGTGGTTTTACTTTCAAAGAAGGTTTACACCTGTTTTTTAAATGCTAGTGGTTGTAATCCCATTTTATAGGTGGAGAAACTGAGGAAGAGAGATTATAATGGCTTCTGTAAAGTCACAGAGCTGGTAGGTAAAAAGTACCAGATATAGAGCCAACATATCCTAGTTGGAATTTAAAGTTTTCAGGGGAAGTTTGGTCCTTGTTTCAAGAACTTACGCTGCAATGTGGAGCCAGACGGGCCTGGGTTCAAAATTTACTTGTGTCACCTACTAGCTGAGTGTTCTACAGCCATGTTACTTAACGTCTCCGACCTCAATCTTTTACAAGTTTGTCATGTGGAAAAGATACATCTTTTTGCAGCATTTCTATGAGGATTGGCCTTATATCTGTGAGCAGGAACATACTCTGTGCCCGAGAGCAGTTATTAAATGAGCGCCTTGAGGTCCCTCATCATCCCCCATTTGTAGACAAATGGCTTTGTACTCACTGGTTCCCTTCTTATTGTCACCTTAGCATTTATCAGCTAAGAAAAATAAAAGAGGCATTCAATTGTTTTTCTGCTTTTCCCTTTCATTAAAGGTCTTGCAGATCATTCCAGAAAGCATGTTTACTTCTCTGCTAAAGATCATAAAGCTTCAGACCCACGATATCATTGAAGTGCCGACCCGCCTGGACAAAGAAAAGCTGAGAGACTATGCTCAACTCGGCCCAAGATACGAGGTGGGTGCCCTTTTGACTCGTGCCTTTGACATTTAAAACCCAAGCCATGAAATATCACAGGTCTGTCACCTGCCATATCCCCAGGACCATCAGACGGATTCTGATCTTTTTCCCTCACTCTCAATGGTTGCGGGAGACCGGCTCCCACAAGTCCAGGGGTTCCCTTAGGTGGAGACAGAGAAGCGCTTTTCAAGAATTAATGTCTCACTTTATTTTTACAGCCTGTCCTTTTTATACTGGGCAGGTAATTATTTACGTCATTGAGCTGTTTTTCCCAAAGTTGTTTTTCCACGTTTAAACCTTTACCCATTAGGAAATTGTTTTCTACATAGTTTCAATGTTCCTTCCTTCCCAGGGTCCATTTTCTTTAGAAGTTTGTTTTTCTCCGAATTTTACTTCCTCACGATGTTTCTTTTGCAGGGTACAGCCAGATCTGTTCTTCACTAATGACTAACTTATCCTAACTATGTATCAATTTCTTCCACTAATGGCCAGAGCTGAGTTCCTGCCTTGGCACTTAAAGGATGTTTACTACTTAGCAACTATTTCAAACACTACTGGCTAAACAGGATCTTTAAGAATTATAAGGTGCATAACTTGTCTATCACTAAGAATCTATCATTAAGGAACTAACAGTAAAGCAGAATTATCATAATATGTCCAAAACTCACTTATTTAAAGAAAATAAAACAATCAATATAAGAAGGGGTGTCAGATCTTTATCCTACTGGGGGCATCCAAAGGGGAATTTAAATTTTTCAAAACATAAAGCAATATCTGTTTCTCAGCCAGAGCTTCAGGATTTGTCACAATAGCAGTGTGATAGGCCATGTCAGATACTGAGGTGCAGCCAGCTCCCAACAAATGGTAACTACGTTTGCTGCGTTAGTACAATCACACCTTTATTCATCCCACTGTCCTGGTGTCATCGAAGGCCTTGCCTGCCTGAGTGTTCTCAGAGGAAGTGGATGGACCTCAGCTGATCACTCTGGTCGTGCATAGTCTTGATGAGTCAGCCCTTATTCTCTTGGGCCAGATGGCCTAGACTTTTCACATTCAGGTTCCTGCTTTGCATCGAACCAGTGGCTCGAAATAATCCATAACCCATTAACCATTTCCTATGGCCAGCCTTTCAAACCCACTCGATAGTTAGGCACCTCAGAGGCCATTTTTCCCAAACACTTCTGCTTTTCTTTCTCCCTAACTTAGAAGTAAAGATGTGAAAATTGAAAATGTGATGCCCATTGTTATCACATTTTATTCCTGTTATCAATTTCACACCATCTAACACAGCTTCCAAAATTACATCATGAATTTAGATTTTCAAGGTTGGAATTTCCACATTTATTCTAAATAAAAAATGTAGCACCTGTCTACCTTATCAGTGTTTCCTGGTGTTGCTTGAAAAAAATGTAGAAGGTAGTAAAGGGCGGATTACCTTCTCAGAGCCTCAAAGAGCCTTTTCTACTTGGAAGGGACCATTCACATCATTAAGTCCTGCCTTCATTTTATGCATGAGAAAATGAGGCCCAGAGAAGGGGAAATGATTGGTCAAAGCTTAAAGAACTATTTAATGTCTAGCAGTGGTCTCAGTGACACCACAAAGCCTCATTTCTGACCAGAACGGGGCACATAAGCATCCTGAAGCTGTGTACTTGTTCCTGTTGTCTTCCCCCGTTCTGGGACCATGGGCTGGTTGTTTTAGCTTCCCCTAGAAATGGAGGGTCTTTTATCTGAAGTACCTCATTAATGTCTTTTTCTTTGTTAAAGGTTGCCAAGCTGACTCATGCTATTTCCATTTTTACTGAAGGCATCTTAATGATGAAAACAACTTTAGTCGGCATCATCAAGGTAATGGCTTTGATGCTGGGCTGTGTGGCCTTGTACTAAGACCCTTGGTTTGGATTACTGTGGTATTTAACCCGTGGGGAACAGGGAAAGACACTAGCATCTCGGGTCCCTTGCTGTTTCACATTCAGCTTTTGATCTTCACTTTACTCATGGATTGATAAAGGAACAGAGCATTACAATCTTCATTTTTCATAATACCTGAGTTATTTAAATCTAAGAAAAATCCATTTTATTGAATCTTTATAATAACAAGGAAAACAAGATGGTTCAGTTCCCTTAGAATAGCTAGTATGCGTGTGCGCGCGCACTCTCTTTCTCTCTCTCTCTCTCTCTCTCTCTCTCTTTGTCTCTCTTTTCCACACTCCTTTCTTTTTAGTATTTTTATGTTGCATCCCAGGTGCAGAGAACTGAGATAATCATACCCCATTGTCATTGTGAGGCCATTGTCAACACTGATGCATGTAAGCGTCTCTCTTTTTCTTTCTCATCTTCTGATACCTATGCCATTCTCATCCCCCATAGCACCCACTCTGTCTGATATGCAAGTATCCTTATTTTTAGTATGTCATGTAATTTTATGTATGCATGTGTTTTTGATTTATCTAAATCATTGAGCTCTGTCTCTTCATTCTTTCTCCAACTTTTCTCACTAGTTACTACTTCTGAAATAAATTCATGTTGCTATGGGTCCGATAGTTGGTTGTCTCACTGTTGCATAGAATTTCATTTTACTTATCCATTGCCCTAGGGACAGACATCTGTGTTGCCCAATATCACACCTACATTCCTCATCATCATGAACATTGTCAAGATGAGTTTCTCTGAAAATGTCCCCACTGCAGACCTGTGCAATCTGCTCGTACACACCCAGGAATGGGTCACTGGGTCCTAGGGCATATTTATGCCTCATTTGTCTCAATACTGCCAGATTGCCTTCTGAAATGACTGTTTCCTGTGTATCTACCCACATTTTTGCCAGTTCTTGTTATTATGCACTTTCAAACTTTCGCTCTCCGAGGGGTATGAAGTGGTATCTCATTGCTGTTTTAATTTATAACCCTATGATACCTAGTGATGTGCCCATTCACAGGGTTCATGGTGCTTGTATCTACTTTTGCGTTTATTTGACATCAGTAGAATCTGAACATTTCTGATTTTTAAACAAATTTATACTTATCAAATTGCCAGATTAACATTTGTGTTAAGAAAATCCAAGAAAATATAGGAAATGACCCTAAAATAGATACGGAACTTTAGTGTGTTTTCCAGAAGTGTGTTAAAAGAGATTCCATTATACCCCTGGACTATTAATAGAATCCACTAAACATGCTGTAGGCCTGATGCCAGTTTAATTCAGTTAATATGCAGAGTGACCAATATAAGAAGGATGTAATAAAACCTAACAATTAGCAATAATTATCAGAGGAAAGACCACTTAAGAAAAGTTTAACTCTTTAGTCACAAGCTTTCAGATAATAAGAGCAGAGGGAATATCACATGGACTGTCTTTGCCAGTCTGACAACTCAGGGCCCTTACTAACCTTTAACCTCCCAATATTAAGGATCTATTTCAAACACTTATAAAAAGCATAAGTTCACTTTCATCAATATGACTTAAAAAACAAGTGAGATATACACAGAGATATAAGCATTTATTGTTAGAGGTAACCAAAAAAATAGAAATAATCTAAGTATTTATAAGTAAGAGAATGGCTGAATATCATGGTGCACTCATGCAATGGATTGCTGCCATTCGAAAAGAATTTGCCCCTGGAAGATTTCCAAGACTTACAGTGAAAAAAGCCAATTGCAGAACGAGGTATGTGTATGTATATATCATCCCATTTAGACTTTTGAAGTTAAATATGTGTTTAAGGACAAATATGCATATAAATGAATACAGAAAGGTCTGGAGGGTCCATATGAAAACTGTTAACTGTTGCTAACTTCAGGGCAGGGGACAGAAATGTGAGGCAGGGACGGTGCAAAGGGGCTTTCTCTTAGTTCTGAACACTTCATGAGTTAGTGAAACTCTAGGAAGAACTGGAAGGTCCATTTGAGACCTTTAGATTCATGAAAACATTTAACTCTTTTTCATTAAATCTGTCCTTACAAGGAACATTTCTTTCAAAACTTCATGTTACTTCTTTGATTTTTTTTCTCATCGATTATATTTACTTATAATTTACCTTTTTATCATAAAATAGAGCATAGATACTGAAAGCTACAGAAACATTTATGTAACTTAATGAGTTGTTATAAGGTAAATACCATTTCTTTTCACCACCACTCAAGTCGAGAGATATAACTGAGCCAGCTCCCACCCCAGTACCCTCCTTGTGTGCCCTGACCCAATCTGTCTCTGTTGATAGTTTTATTATCCAAAAGGAAATCTCTCTACAGTATAGTTTATACTTACCCATTTTAAAAAATATGTCATGTCTTTTAAGTCTGTTTTAATCTCCAGGTTTCTCTGTTCTTTTTTATCTTACAATCCATCTTTTGAAGAACCCAGGGCTTTTGACCCTTGGTCTCTCCCCAGCCTGGATGTTGCTGACTGCATAGTCACAATGTAGTTCAACATGTTTTTCTGGCTTTTGTCATTTCTGCAACTTTTCATTGCATTTGTCTTCCTGGAAGTTTAAATATAATCAAACCCAGATGGACCCCACCAGTTGCTTTTATGACTTTTTAAAAGAATGGTTCTTTACAAATTAAAAAAAAAAAAAAACAAGTCTTGGAATTCAAAGGCGTGTGCATTAAAACTATTTGATGTTTTATGGATCTGATAGGAGACTGTCTTTGGGGAAATAACAAAAGCTTTCTTATTACAGAAAAAAAAGAACCAGCATAATAAACATAAAAAGTTAAATAGCAGATTTGCTTTCTTATTTTATCCCCCCAATTACAAAACCATTCCAAGAATGTTCAAAGAAAAGAGAATTGTCGATATGCAGCGTGGGCCTACCCAAAACTTGAGTTTGTCTGTATGACTATAGATGCCTTGAAAAAACACCCAGAGGAAACACAGTTAATTCAAATGCAGGCCCTTCGTTCCACTCCCTCCTCCAGGTGATAAGAAAAGACATTTTTTACTTTTCATGACATGATTAAAATGTGAGGCAACTTGGAACTTTCCATACCCACCATCTTTGAAATGTCATGTTGTAAAATTATTATCATGAATTTTACCGAGATAAACTGAGTCCTAAAGAGGTGAGTCTAATTCCCTCCTAGCTACACAAGATCATAAGGTACAGGAAAGGAAAACAGCCCTGGTTATTTAGAAAAGAGGCAGAAGAGTGTTTCACAGTGGATCTTGGAGACCGTTTTTCAATTGGATTTCTTCAGGACCGAGCTTTCCTCACTGCCATGTATTACTCTTTGATTTGCACACAGGTGGATCCAAAACAATTGCTGGAAGACGGAATCAGGAAGGAGCTAGTAAAACGCGTTGCTTTTGCTCTTCACAGGGGGTTGATCTTTAACCCTCGAGCCAAGGTACCCGATGACCAAAATGAGTCTGTCCTTTCTCTTTCTCTTACTCAGCTTGCAAAATGGGCTAGAGCACCACTTTTCACAATTGTGAACAAGACCTTTCCTCCTAACGTGGATCTAATATATGATTTTCAGTACAATCAGCAGATGTGCTTTTTGATCCTATTTTGTAATCCATTCATAGTATAAGGAATTCCTGTTCAAAACCAGTACTTCTTTTCTTCACCTGGTGATCCCCAAGTTTAGGAATTGATCTGTTGTTTGTGATTCAGAGTTACTTCCTATAGTTGAAAGAATTGGTTAACCCTAAAGCAGATAGGAACTATAAAGGCTAATTTTTTTTATTTTGCCTAATCTGTTAAGTAATGTGGTCATTTTTCTCAGAAAACTAGGCCCAAAATTTACATATGGGTACTTTTTACCTCAGTAAATTCAATTTAAAATAATTTAAGTGTTTTAAGGTAGATATATTAACATTTATCAAATGATGTGAGAGAAATCATCAACATTCATTTTCTGTATTTTTTTATACGAGGCTTCCTTCCCAAATGAATGAAATCTATTTTTTGCCAAATGTCCGACGTGAGTTACCACTCATCTTAGATGAGACAGGGAAGAAGTATTTCCAAAGCTATCTTAAACTATTGCTGCAGTCTCCTAGGGTGTCATTTAAAGTCCAATATAGACTGTAGCGGTTAACAATCTACTCCAACATAATAGAATTTATGTTTCTCCTTTGCACAGCCAAGTGAATTGATGCCCAAGCTGAAAGAGTTGGGGGCCACCATGGATGGATTCCATCGTTCTTTTGAATACATTCAGGACTACGTCAACATTTACGCTCTGAAGATTTGGCAGGAAGAAGTATCTCGTATTATAAATTATAACGTGGAGCAAGAGTGTAATAACTTCTTAAGAACAAAGGTGTGTAAGTGCATTTTGAATTCTTGACTGTATTTATTATTTCTGACATGCCCTAAACCTCCGAAATGCCAACAACAAAGTTTGTCTAAACAGTTACTAAAAACCAGTTAGCACTAGATAGTTGCAAATACCTTTTCAGCTGTGAGGGTTGCAGAAAACTGTATATGACACCTGACCTCTGGGAGTTTACTGTCCTAAGGAGAAAGCAAACATGATTAAGTGGGTACAGAATGAAGCGGTTTGTTGCCCCTGTTATGACACAAGTGATCAACAATTCAGAAGACTTAATGAGTCAGTAGAATTTGATCAGAACACATTCCTAAGAGTGAAATTGCTGGGTCAAATTGTAATTCCATGTTTAAATTATTGATGAACCACAAAACTGTTTCCCACAGTATCTGCACCATTTTTCTTATCCACCAGGGGTTCTAATTTCTCCACATCCTCACCAACTCTTGTTATTTGCCTCTTTTTTTTTTTT